TCCCACTCTGACAAAAATGTGTAGCAGACCATGGGCATTCAGCTCTTCCACACATTGCATGGCTTCCTGTTCAAACAGCAAATAGAGGCTTACTCCAAAATTTGGACAGTGTTAGCAGAGTGTTACAATAACTTGAAAACCTTTTACTTATAAAAAAGTCAGTAGAAAATTCCATAAACAAGACAGTTTTCATATTTATTATAATATATAGCTCAGTAAAAAAGATCTTTATAAGGCAAACATATTTAAGTTAACAATTTTATTAAAGATCAAAGGACCATGGTGGCGCCTATGGCTCAGTAGGTAGGGTGCCGGCCATATACACGGACGCTGGCAGGTTTGGACCTGACCCGGGCCAGCTACAACAACAATGACAATCCCAACAAAAAAATAGCTGGGTGCTGTGGTGGGCACCTATAGTCTTAGCTACTCAAGAGGCTGAGGCAAGAAAATTGCTTGAGCCCAAGAACTCGAGATTGCTGTGAGCTGTGACACCACAGCATTCTACTGAGGGCGACAAAGTGAGACACTGTATTAAAAAAAAAACAACAAACAGAAAACAGTGTGTGTGTATCTGTCTCTGCTGTTTAGCAGGCCTGGGCTGGGCTTAAACCTGCCAGCCTGAATTATGTAGCCAGCACCTGTAGCTCAGTGAGTAGGGTGCCAAATCAAAATAATATATATTATAAAAAAGAAATTTGATGTCATAATTCAAAGTCTTTTTTTTTTTTTGAGACAGAGCCTCAAAGCTCTGGGTAGAGTGTGGTGGCATCACAGCTCACAGCAACCTCTGCCTCACCTCCTGGGCTCAAGCGATTCTCCTGCCTCCGCCTCCCACATAGCTGGGACTACAGGCGCCTGCCACAAGCCTGGCTATTTTTTTTTGGTTGCAGCCGTCACTGCTGTTTGGTGGGCCTGGGCTGGGTTTGAACCCGCCAGCTCTGGTGTATATTCTGTCAGGGGTTGCTAATATTTGTTATGTGCTCCAGTAAAAAAGGGTCTGCCTTCATAGTAAAGTTAAATTGAAATGATATGGCTAGGTTAAACATTAAAATTCTTTCGGCAATTCTTTTTTTTTTTTGAGACAAGAGCCTCAAGCTGTCCCCCTGGGTAGAGTGCCATGGCATCTCAGCTCACAGCAACCTCCAACTCCTGGGCTCAAGCAAGTCTCCTGCCT